TTTTATTATTTTTAACAACCATTACCATCTATATAAATTAAAATCTATTATAAAACTTTGAATTTATTAAATTTACCTTAAATATATTACTAATTTACTAAATAAAAAAATATTTTACAAAACAGATTTATAATAAAAGTGTAATTTATATTATAAATTTATTAAAAATCCTAACCCTTAAACCATATGAATTTTATAAAATATTTTAATAAATTCATAAAACAAACCTTTTTTTTGTTTGAATTAAAGAAAAGGAAGGGAACAGGAAGGGAAGGGGTCCCTTACCTTTTCTCAACCTAAACATATGTTAAACTGTTAAACCATAATATGTCCTATAAAACATAAATCCCTACAAAATAATTAAAAAAAAAATCCAAAACCAAAATTATATATAAATCAGAACCTTAGCTGAGAGGGAGTTGTAGAAACAAAAAATAATCGAAAAATAAAGAGATTTTAATGAATTATTTTTCCAACATTGTTTGTAAGTCTGACCTGTCTTTGACAGGATTATTAAAAGAAAACGGCAAACAAATTCGAATGCCTGCAGACTACAGATGGAAACATGAAATGACAAACAAACAATGGACAAATGTTCGAGAAACAAGGAACAGACAACAGATGACAGCTACCTTTACATCTTTCTTGTAAAGTCGAAAGCAGGAAAATTGTTCCTAATCCTAGAAATAATCCCCCTTTTCTTTTTATTACTGCAAAGGACATTTGATGGAAACTGCCTTCATTATAGCCTTTGCCTCACCCTCCGCCCATTAGCATCACTTCCGTCGAGGATCGCCTCAGTCCCATGTTTAGTTAGGGTTGCAGGATCGTCAGTTTTAGCAACGTACTGCAAGAGCTCAGACAAGACCGAGGGACAACTTTGCCTCAGGTACTCAAAACCATCAGTTTGCATTACAGCTGCAAAAAGAAAGGTGAAGAGTTTCAGCCAATAAAAAGGGTTGTTGTGTGAAACATAAAAAGGTTCTACCATAAAGGAAAAAGGAAAAAAAAAAAGAAAGAAAAAGAAAACAGTTATGACATGAAGACATGGAAGAGCTGCTGAGGACTTCATCAGATGTCTCACACAGCCGTCCACATCCACAATTTTCAACCAGTTAACCATGAAAAATGGAGAACGTGGGTCCAAGTGACCCCTTTAGCAACTACTAACAAACAAGCTTGTCCTACTTAAAAATTATTTACAAGCAAATTCAACAAATAGAAACAACAGAAGAGATTCACCTTTCAAATTTTCAGGCATTGCCACAAACTTGAGACAAACAGCTTTCAGCTGAGTACAACGGTGCTGCTCTGCCAAGGCTAAGGTGGTTGCCACATTGTTAATGGCAACATTCTCACAAAGATTGGCCTCACAAATCAATCTGAGCCTGTCTAAACCATACCTATCAGCTGCTGCAAGCAGATGTTGAGACATCAAAGTAGAGGCCCACTTCGAATCGATACCCGTAAGCTCTTGCATATCGGGTAGAGAATCCCAATAAATGAAGTGAAGTAAAGCCTACAAAGTTCCATAAAAATAAAATCCAGGGTAACAGTAGTGCATCAGCCATTTAATATAAACAATTGCTGAATTGCCTCAATAACAGACACAATAGATTTCAACCAGTGAGCCATCAATGAGATTGTACTCAAGACTTACCTTAAACACAGAAGCTTCGATGTCTTCAACTTTTATTTTCTGAGTATTTTGCTCCTTCAGTGGGCCATAAAGTTGTGCCTTAAACACAGGTGAACGAGTAGCAAGTATCAACTTGTGAGCAGGAAATATTTCACCATCAACTTCAAAACTCACATCAGATCTCTTTCCACTTGCCAGTAGTTGTCCAAATTGTTGTCCAAGGTTTGAAGGTGGAACTTCTATAGAGTAGGCCTTGGGACCCTCTGTATTTGACTTAACAACACCAACACTACATTGAATAGAGAGGCAATCATCTTTGAGGTAGTCTGATTGCTCCAGCACATTTCTTTTGAAAAACTTTTTATATCCCCTGCAGCATCAAATAATCAAACCATTCAATAAAGCAATTACTAGAGTTAGCCCCATAAAAAATTGATATTAAACCATGAAAATTATTTAAACAAATAACTTCTCCCAAAAACACAATTGGATAATTCTGAGACAATGAAACCACCCAAACAGACAAATAAAAGCACCAAAATCTTGATGAGACAATGATTTGATAGCCAAGAGTATGAGGACAATGATTTGATAAGGCTTTGATAATAATTGTGTACATAGATCCTGTAACTCAGCAAGTGAATGCCCCAATAAGGTCGTAAAGAGGGCACAACGTTTCGGCTTATAACAAAAATAAAAAGTCAACACGATAAATTTATTGTAAAAGACAAAAAGAGAAAAAAAAGCCTATTGCTAGAGCATAGCACAGCGCAGCTCTAACAAACAAAGCCTAAAAGTAGTAAAAGGGCTCAGCTAAGAACCCATACACAACAAAGATGACCCTGACCACCCGATAACAAACCTAAATTCTACACTACGAATTTCACATTTCTTTGCACCATTTCAATGATCTGACTATTGTTATGTTAGCACCAGTTCAACTAAGACATAAAAACCCATAAACTACCAAATATCCAACCAACCCAATTGACATTAATCATTTCAAAACCTGGAATTGCAGTAAACATACGGAGATAAACCCTCTAAAGAACAGAACACATCTACTAACCACATGCTACCGCGATACTTAAGAGTGTACGGTCCACTCTCGAGCGTCCTACCGAAATGGCTATGAACCTTATGTCTCCCCCTGCCGCTCTGATCAAAGAGAGTGAGCTCGAACAATGCCCTGACGTCGGTCCCCTCGTTTGCCAATGCGATGAACAGGGAAACATAGGCCGCATTATCCTCTACGCTCTTTCCATCAGGATAAAAGTAAATCGCCCACCCGTACCCACCCACCATGAATGTCTCAGAAGCTATGTACTTCCCAATCCCGATCCCCTTCGAGAGGGAGTATCCGTTGATCTTGAACTGATGCGACCCATTAACGCTCTCGGTAACCGACATCGAGGTGGTAGTGATACTGCAGTCCGAGGAGGAGGGCTTGGAGGTCTCACTTAGAACCTTCTCCATGCCCAAGGAATGCGGCGTTTTGACTAATTTCCGAATTTCTCAGGGAAATTGCGAAATTTTCCTCGGGAAAGGGACGGTTCAGTGAGAAAAAGCAGGCGTTTTCTCTGTAGATTTCTAGGGCTTCTATTTGGAGAGACAAGGAAATGAATTTGCAGATTATGATTTATATAGCTTCTGTGAACACAGAATTATTGGCGGTGGGAAGGAGGACAGCCATCCGAAAAGGGCAGTCATATTACTCACTCCTTTTCGTTTTAGTCCTTCTAGTTTCATTTTGCATAAAGTTTGGTTAGATAATTTTATATAACAAATCAATGTTAGATGAGAAGAAACTTTCTTTTTAAATGTAATTTTTGTTGAGTATTTTCATTTATGCTTCAAAATCTTTTTATATAATATTTTATCTAAAAATATAAATTTATTACTTTGCATTGATGAGAGTAAGTTATTAGAGAATGAATATTTATATTTAGATGTGTCTTGTCTGATTTATTTTATCATTATACATAACGTTTTTATTTTTAAAGAGTTGGTTAGAATGTTTGGAAATGTCAACCTATAGACTAATTTCAAACAAATGTAAGCTATTCTATTAGTTATCAACTAATAACTACAATAATGAGTTGTTTATGACAACCAAGCCAAACAAAGCCTAAGATAGACTAAATGTTAAGCGGAAACAACAAAGAATGCATTAATGTTGAAACTAACTATTAGCAATATAATCTAATTGAACCAAGTAAGTATGTTTTTAAATTATTAGTGATAACAATAATTACCAACCTTTTTTCTTATACAAAACAATTAATTACTAATTTCAAACTGTTATGCGAAATACTACTACAATATATCTATAACTTAGTTATCATTTTTCACCCCTTAATTACTCATTAAAGGGTCATGCATTTTCCCATTGAACCATGCACTAAGAACTAAGAAGCATGTATCTTGTTTTAAATAATGGAAACATGCATACACTATTGGTAATCATGAAATATTTTCTACACAACCTAATGAACTATAATATAAGTTATCTAATATAATGTATTAAAAAGAATAAGAAGGAACAATAAATGATTGTAAAGTAGAAGCATGCCTAAAACTAAAGAACCCTATAAGAGGTTTTTAATATAATGATTTGAAATTAGTGGTTACTAGTTCGTCTACTATGACGAATGAGGGTGTTTAAATTATTAATGACAACAATTATCAACTATTAAATTAAATGAAATCATTAACCACAAATTTCCAACTATTGTACCAAACGCCCTTCAAATATAAAGACTCAAATTCTCCTCCTTATTGATGAAAATAAGAATCAAAATAATTAAAAAGTAGAAGTATTTAGTCCATAAACTAGACACTCAAAAGAGAAATTCACTAACACCCATATCGCACCTTGGATAAATCACTGAACATTCCCAATCTTCAGGAACGACGACCTTTATATTAAGAGCCAACGACAGAGGCATGGGGAAAGAGCTCTTAACCCAAAGGTAAATAAACCTACACAACGACAAGATAATGATTATGAGAGAGGAGAGCAAGTTGAGGGGTAAGCGATATGAAGGGAGAAAGGGAATAGAGGAGGGCTATAAAAGGGAGAAAGGGAACGACTAGGGTTTTTTTCTCGACAAAACCAAGTGTTAAGCCCTTGAATTTACCCTATATTAATATGTAATCCCTTGAACTAAAATGTGCATCTAAACCCTCGAACCTCGCAATTGATGCAAATCATCCCTCTTGGTAACGGTTTGTCGTTAGAAGTCATTTGACATTGTCGTTAATGCAACTTAGAAGAAATATGCTAATTACAATTTAATTCTAAAATTAGTTAGTCAAATTCAAAATAAAAATAATCTTTAAAATCTAACCAAATACTAAAAATTTGCTTTTGTCATTCAAAGCCATGAATGAATCCCCTCTTGCCCCATCCACTCATAGGAACAAAACCCAACTCAAGCAATTGTAATTTGTTATTCAAATAAAAATTACAAACAATTGTACCCAAAAAATCACAAACAATGTCCAAAAACACTAATTTTGCTCAATTAAAGTCTATAAAATCAAAAATGAAAAAGTAAAAATACTAAAGCATGAGTTTTTGGCCGAAAATAACCAAACATCACTCTTATTGTTTTGTTAAAGCTTAGGGATTATTTATTTATTTATTTATTTTATAAATTTGACAATTCTAAGAACCATATTGTAATTAAACGTTTCTTTAAAATGCATTAACGGTGGTAGAATCCGGGCACACATCCTCAAGAGGGTTGATTTGCATCGACCCAGAGTTTGAGGGCTTAGATGCATAATTTTAGATAGTTTAAGGGATTAGATATTGACAAGTTTAGGGACTCAACAGCTGGGTTTTGCCTTTCCCTCTCCCGTTTTGGCATGTTTTTCATTATTAATAACAAATTGCAAAGAAAATTAGGATGTACACACTGCACTGGATACATTGACAAAGATGGAATGGAGAATAAAAGGAAACTTAATAAAAAGGAAAATTTAGTGATTTATCAAAAAAGATTAGATAAAACCAGAACGTTGTTTCAATTAAAATATGGG